TATTTATTTTTAGTTTTGTTCTGGTCTAAAGAATCTTAAATTTTTATTTTAAGTAACCACAAGCTATTTAGAAGTGTGATTTTAATGTTCCTTACATATTTTTTTTTCTAATTATCTTTCTGTTTCCTAACTTCATTGAGATCAGAGATCTGTTTTTGACCGAATTTGTTTTCTGGCCCAATATATAGTCAATTTTTATAAATTTTCTAAATGTGTTTGAAAACAAAGTATGTTCTGCAATTTGGGGGTACAATATGTATTCATTAGATGAAGCTTATTTATTATGTAATTAATCCTATGAGCCCCATAAAAGGTCAGGGCAAAATAATTTATATACTAATTTTATATCTCTAAACTTGACTGCTCCTCAAATCTATATTCATATATTTAAGTCCCTAGTCAACTTCTCCACTGCAAATAGTCACTGCAAATGTGATACAGCCTCCCCAGCCCCACCCCCAAGACTTGCTCCTTTCCCAGGCTTGTCTATATCAACATTTCTCCAGATTTAAGCCCCCAAATTATTCTCTTCTACTGATTCCCTTCTCCCACCCACCCCATTTAATCTATTAGGAAATCCTTTTGATGTCTCCTCCAAAACATATGTAAATTTTGTCCACTTCTTTTCATCCTTGCTATCTCCACCCTGATCCAAACAAGAGTAATTCACAAAGACTAACAGTCTCCCAGTTGGTCTTCCTCCTTTCTGTTTTGCCTCCCTCCTCCCCAATCAGTTCTCCGTACAGTATTCAGAGTAATCTTTTAGAATTGTAAATTATAAAATGTCATCCCTCACTTAAAACCCTTCAATTATTTCCTCTCATACTTAAAATAAAAACTCCTTACCTTGGTTTAAAAAGCCTATGTGATCTGGCTTCTGATATTCTCCCCATGCTCACTCTGTTCCTGTTCTGCTCTTCTAGCTCATCCTGTAACCCATAAAGCTTGTTCCCGGCTCAGGGCCTGCATTAGACAGGATGGGGATAGGTTATGCTACTGTAAGACACAATCCCCAAATCACACAAAGTAACCCTAGGGGCTAGGTCATTCTCTAAGACAACTGTTGTCCATGAGAAGACTCAATAATTCAGGCTGCCTCAGTCTTGAGGTTCTACCATCTCAATATGTGGCCTTACCCATGATTGTTATGGTAGAGGAAGAGGGTACTAGAGGGTCTTCTATCAGCCTGGAAATTATTTATATTACTTCGTCTCACAGTCTGTTTTCCAGAACTTGTCCATAAGCCCACCCACCTGCAAGATAGTGGAGAAGTGTGTACTCCTGTGTGCCAAGAAGAAACAAGTCAGATATCAATACCAAAGTCTCTACCACAGGACTGTTCCCTCTTCCTGGGATGCGCTTTCCTCTAATTTTCACATGGCTGGCTCCCTATTGACACTTGGATTTCATCTCAAAAGCCACTTTCTTAGGCTGTCATTGGCCACCCAGGTATATAACTTTCAACTCACTGATTTAGTTGTTTGTTCATTGAATACACTCTCTCCGACCTAGAATATAGGCTCCATGAAAGCTGGTAACTTGTCTGTCTTGCTCATCCTGGAATTGCCTTAATAAATATTTGTTGAATAATTTAATAATTACTCAAAAAAGTAAATCTGATCATGGAATCCTCCTCCCGTTAATGGATTTTTATAATCATCAGGATAAAGTTTAAACTTTCTGGTAAGACATATGAGTCTTCATAATATAATGTCTGATTACCTTTCATTCATCCCCAGGGACTGCCACTGGGGATATGGCAGTAAACTTAGAATCTTTAGCTTCATATTTGGCGTGACTCTTTCCTGTACTCAGTGTTAGACAAAGTCACATAAACAACCTAAGACAGCTAACAAAGTTCTGCTTCTTCAGATAGATAAAAAGTTTAGATTTAGTGAGGATGGGGACAGATTAATGGTCTACTGATACAAACTGTACACAGAAAGTGATTCACTTTGTAATTGCTTTCACTGGCTAAAGTTGAATCAACACTCTAAAATGATTCAGGAAAATGCTTATCACTTAGCTAAATTATGCTTATCATTTAGTTAAATACTAAATTATGTCGCTGAAACAAAATAAAACAAACAACTCCAAAGCACCATGGACTTAAAGGTTTATTCCTTACTTGGGTAAAGTCCAGAGAAGTTCAGGTGGTCCTCCTCCATCATGTTACACCAGATATACATGACTTCCAAGAAATCCTTAGCAGGGCAAGAGACAAACAAGGCCCACTGGTCTTAATTGCCTTGCCCCAACACTTCACTACCCCTCAAATCATCTGGCTAGAATTATTCTTATGGCCTCAACCCATCCCCAGGGGAAGCTTGGAGATGTAGAGAAGCACATGGATACTGGATCAGCACTAACAATCTCTGCTTTAATCAGTTCATGAGTTATTCCTTTGATCCTTTCTATCCACACTAAGAACACAATCAATCCATTCCCAAGTGAGACAACATAAAGTACCTTCTTAGTGTTGTATCCAGCTTAATGTCCTGGATCTCCAAATGACCTATGTATTTCTCTTCTTTGAGACATGTTTCTTCTCTATATATCTAGTAGTCAATTGATCTGCTCCTCCCTCCAACACATCCAATATACAATGCTGAAGCAAGAATGGGCTAATTAAAATAAAAACTCTCATTTGACAAGACAGAGGAATAGTAGACATAAAGCAATAAATAAATCTATTGATCATTAAAAAAAATAGGCCACAGAGCAGCCAGATCATGATATGTCTCTGTTCAAAACCTTCCAGTAGATTTTTATCACCCTCAGAATAAAATCTGAACTCCTCCCCCCCTGCCTTACAAGGCCCTGAGATCTGGTGCCTGGTACCCTGTGACTTTCCCTCCTTTCATGAGCTTCCTCACTCTGCCACCTCTAGTCAAACTAGCCTCTTTGCTGTTCAACAAGCCAAACTCCTTCCTCTTCAGACCCCTTTGCATTTGCTCTTCCTTCAACCTGGATAGTTCTTTTCCTACTTAAAATTTACATGGCCTTCCCTTACTACTCTACATGAAATGGCACCTCCCAAACATCCTTTAAATAGTTGGCATTGCCTGGAGATGTAACATTCAAAAGAGGAAGAAATCTGTACCACGATGGCTATTTCTGACATTGCTTTAGGGCAAAATGAGGTGTAAAAAGAAAACCTTTTGACTATGGGCTCACCTGATTATGGATTCCAAAGGTGTCCAGTAACAGACTTTTCTTTCGCCCAAACTCTCAGAAAACAACCATCACAAGAAACAATAGACAACAAGCTTATATTACTGAAAAAAAGGGAATGGGTGTAAGGAAAGGGTAATATAGTTTAAAATTTATCATTTCTCTGTGTTTGCACTCGATAGTTCAAGTTGCTCTTAACTCCCTCGTTGGTTCTAGGTGCTGAAGTATTCTTTCAAGTCACCACCATTCGATTCCTCAATCCCACACAAACCACTTCTTTTGTCTAAATCTGTGGATATCTCAACCTGAAGATCTCCATTTATCACCATTTTGTTGCAGTCTAGAGTACTTTCACCTTCCAGTCATATTTACCATCTTTTGTTAAAAATATGTTCAAGTGATTCAATGCCTAAGCCTCAACATCAGTAGTGTGAGATGACTTAAGGGAAAATGAGAAACTAAGATAATAACCAGGTTGCTGGCTTAGACTACTGGATGTACAGTGGTATCACCATCTAACAAGGCAGAGAAGAGAAAAAAGGTTTAAGGAATGGGGGAAATAAGTTTTGGACTTACTGAATTTGAAATGCATGCAAGAGATGCACTGTAGGAAGTTGGATGTATGGGTTTAAAGTACAGGCTGTGTTTCTATATAAGTTAATGACCTTAACACTAATATCTTAACCTCTTTGGACCTGTTTCTACATTTGTAAAATAAGGGTGTTATACTGATCTCTAAGGGGCCTTCCAGTCCTAAAATGTCAGTGAACTCAATTTTTTCAGTAATCTTAAATAATTTGGTTTGGATCCCTATTTCTTTCTTAGAACTTTGGGGTTTCATGCTTTCTGTATATTTTACTTCGATAATTTAACAAGAACCATTAACTAGCTGGGAGCTTATACATTCATACAACCTTGTTTCCTCTTAAATTTTAAGAGACAGTGAAACACTGTGGATTACTCTACTGATGAGAGACACACATTTAAGCTTGCTGGTCATCCTTGGTAAGAATGTAAGAATTTAAAAATGAATTATAATACACTATTGAAATTTCTTCTCCATGAATTCTTCTCTTCATAGATTTGGAGAAGTTGGAGACATTATTCCTATAACAGGGGAGAAAAAAAAATTGAGAGCACAAAAGGGGTTTATGTTTGACAAGTAATATCCATAAGATCTCCTGTATCACATTTTTAAAAGAAAGTATCTTACAATTTGACAATGCAAAATTAATCAGTAATGGAAATGAAAGCTAAACAGGTCTCAGTTTTATCATCCAGAAAGAATCTTATTTCAGTATTAGAAATTCTGGAATTCTTCCTGTCCTACTTCTTTCCAAACTGTACACAGACTCTTGGTTATTGTATTATTTCTAAGTTAAAATTAAGTTTGAGGGAAGTGGGGACAGTAAACTCATCAATCTGACACGTGTGTAAGTAGCAGCCCTGATACTAAATGCAACTCTGGTTTAAAGACAGGCTCTGTCTTTAAAGGCTTTGTACTTCACAGAATAATCATACTGTTCAACTTAAATAAAATTTCATTTTAAAAGAACAATATGATTATTCTATGAAGTACATCTGTGACTCTTATAACAAAACACAAAACTGCATTGTGACTAAAAGCATGGGCTTTGGAGTAAGACAATTTGGTTCAATCCCGATACCTCTAATGTGATCTTGGGGATAGTTTTTAACCTCTTGAAACCTAAACCTCTTCTTTAAGTAAAATGAGGATAATACTTACATTATATGGTTATTTGAGGACTGTAAGTGATCATTTAAAAACATAAAGACTGCTAGACAAAAGAAAACACCATTTCAACTATGATTTTGTTAGACTTTTATTATACATTTTTTTAGCCATTATTTTAAGGATACCTCTAAAACTGCAAATCTTAGAGTAGTTGGTTTTAAAGTTGACTCCAACTTCCATATTATTAATGCTGATGTTTTTTAAGGACTACTGTGTGCATGACACTATATTGACAGCCAAGCAGAAACCCTAGTTTCAATTTCTCTTGTGTAAAAACTATTCTACTTACTTGTGGGTATTAACTTGATGTGAAGAACATAAAGTAAATTTCTGAAAACCTGTAAATAAACACATAAGACTAACATTTCATAATTCATGGTAAAGGTATAAACAGTTAATTCTTGATCTTTCAAATAAATACAACTGTAATATAAGTAATTCAAAAGTTATTCTGGTGTTAAAATACATTATGATTTTTGAGTACTGTCCTAATAATTTTTCATTTAGATTAATTTTGCTTATATTACAAGTTAAGTGAAACTCTGATACTAAAAAAAAAAAAAAAAAAAAAAAAGAGTAAGAGTAGTGGGTTAAAAATTTCCCACACATCATTTAAGGCAGTTAATCCAGACTTTGTTGTAACATGTTCCCAAACCAAATAATGTATCAGGTAACAAACTATAAAAAAAAATCTGGATACAATCAAGAGTGAATAAATAAGTCATTAAAATGAACTATACATGACCTTTTGGTTAAAAATACACCTTAAAAAATTATGATCAAAAGCTTCCATTTCTACTGCTGCTTTCTCCTTTAGTAATTATTATCTCTTATGTGACAGTTTGCTATCTCTAGAAGAGTAAGAAAAAGTCCTTTTATATTTCATGATAGGTTTAATCAGGTAATTAAAACAAATTCTTATGATATCATCTGATATGTCCAATTACATGGGTATGATGTAACAAAAACAGTTACAAACTTATATATGCGTATTTACATTATATATCCAAAACTATCAAGCTAGTCAACTATATCTAAGGAGATACATTATGACATGAGTTAAACAATTTTTCATTGCTTATTGGAAAGAATGCAGTCAAGCTTTTAATGGAAATAATATACAAGTGAGGCACTTTTGAGGTCAAAAATAGAAAGCAAATGATACTACATACTGGCAATGTTCACAAAAATCTCTACGTGTATCTTTAATACAAAGGCTTTTCAACTAGATTATTCTTGAAAAATTTCAAAACTAGCAACTTATGCAATTTAAGGAGCTTTCAGGAACAATGGCTAACATCAGTGTTTCAAAGCATATCAAAGTTTTATAACCACCTGGCTGCTAGGCAAACAGTACCTTAATAACTTAAAGCCTCCCCCACCTTATTTTTTGGTTTATATAAATTATCTCAGGTTGTGATTTCTTTGTTTTGACTTACTGCAAAACACCTTATGGTGCTATTATTGTGGAGTACAGACCAATTTTTTTTTTTTTTAAGTGTAACAATGATGCAAGTTTCTAGTGCTTCGCCTTATACTTAGAAATGTGATCTTGGAAATCAAATTAAGAATAAGAATATTTAGTTAAGAATCTATGTTTTCCAGGTAACTAAAGTTTTCAAAGTTTCATGTAGAAAAATGTTACACTTGTTTAATATATCTTTAGGCTAAAATAAAAAACCCAATCTTAAACACATATTCCAAAGTGTATCACAAAACCTAAAGTAAATTTCAACAAAACAAACATCCTTAAGATTCTTTAAATCTGTAGGAAAGTACGTATTTCCTGTATTTCTGAGACATACAGGTATTAAGAAACATCTCTGTAGTGTTCCTTTAAGGGGGGGCTGGGGAGAGAAAAAGAAAAGACAAGACTTACCCAAGATATCAGATGGCACTATACACATGAATTGAAAGTGCATTTGTATTACTTCAAAAGTTCATTTTAGGCACTGCTGAATAACCAATGAAAATAGGTAGTTTTAAGTTTCCCCCTTTAAATTTTAACCCCTGCCCAACATTATCCCAAGAGACACACACACTCTCTGAAGTTGTCATGATGAAATACAGTGATATTTATTTTTTCTAAAAAATTCTCCCTGACTGGTAATGGGAGGAAAAGTAAGAATACCATTTTGGTAATGGCTTTTGCAAGTTGAAAGAATTGGTTCTATAAATGCTTCGGCACATTAAGTTTGATTGCCAGTTCCAAATATTGATAAATATTTTAAAACAGGATATGTAAGAAAAAAGTGCTTAAAATCTTTCTACAAGACACATTAGGGAAAAGATTGGTTTTACAGTTCGAGATATTTCTTATTCCTGCTTTCTCCATTTGGAGGTGGCCACCACTTAAATAGCCCTTTACTGGTAGTAATGATGAACCCTGTCAGATCCCAATTGCCACCTCACGTATGGTCTATAAATCATCCAGTAGGTGGTGCTGAAGTTACATACCTCATATTTCTTCTGAAATCAAATGATTCCCCTGTCAACTCAGGGGACAGACAAATCATTTAAGGATTATCAATTCTGAACAAGCCATCAGACGAAAAGTCTTTCTTGTCATGCCATCTAGATGATTTCATTTTCAATATTTACTATTAGTTAAGCAGTTTTGTTTAGCCATTTGCTTCTACTACCAGATTAAAACCAAAGAGAAAGGTTTTAGAGGACAAGCCAATTGGCAGTGCCAAATCTGTATGCAGAACAAGAAAATGTTCCTGAATATACCTATACACGTTTAAGAATGAGAAATTTAACCTAAGAATTCACATAAGAATTCTAATTTACTCAAGAGAAAATTTCCACATAGGGATTCAGGTAACATTATATTATCAGTTAGTCTTCCAGACTGATTTGGAACCAGGGTGTGTTAAACTATAAAGATCCAAGGTAAAATAAAAACCATTTCATGACCATAGTTTTTAATTAAGAAACTTGTTTAAAACTGTAAAGGAAAAATGGGGATGGGACGGAAAAATCTTAGCAGCAAAGTGGTTAAACAAATTGAAAATATTAATGCACAAACATTAAAATATTAAAGCATATATGTTGCATATAAAATACAGTACAGGACCAGGAGTTGCACTATACTGATTAGTGCTCAACAGAAGAAATGATTAAATTTGTTCTTCCCAGAAGTATATACACAGTTCATTTCCACAGCATTTTCCTATATAGCCAGCAAGTTATTTTCTTCAGTTGTTCGCACCTGATCAAACCTGAATTATAAACTCAGCACTTACAAATACGAAAATTATTCACAAGGAAAACCAGTATTTCCATTTTACCAATAAAAAGTAATTTTGAAAGTTAACAGTCTATTCTAGGAAACCAAGTTTAGCTGAAAACTTCAGGGATGAAGATCATCTGGTGTAGCAGCTTCCAAATATATAAACAGTAAAAATAAGACTTAAAACTGCTGCTACGGTATCATGTTTTGGACTTAGTTCATCCAATTAATTTTTAGTACAAAACTAGAAATAACCTCTTCTTCATAACATCTATAGTTATCAATATATTTTTCTTCTTTTCAATGTGAAATAATACTTTAAGATGATCTATATACACAATGTTGTCAGTTCAAGCTGTCATATAAATATAAATGCTTTCTTAAAAAAAGTATTTTACAGACAGATAGCGTTATATACATTGTTCAGTTTGATCTGGGGCAAAAGAAGAAAGCTAACACAAGCTTAAGTGTGATATGTAAAAAGAATGATTACATAAATGACATTTAAAAACCTGCATAGAAAATGAGCTTCTAACAGTAGTGTGATTTTAATTTTTATCACTTCTGAAACTTCAAGCCATTAAAAAAAGGCACACTTCTCAACTTTTCCCTTTAAGGGAATGTTCTTAAGGAACCCCTTACTTGGTTAGAGTTTTAATGTAACACTTAAAAAAAAAAAAAAAAAAAAAGACAATTTGACCCCAAAGTACTTCAAACAATTTGCTAGAACATTTATCCAACTACTTTGTAAATAAAACATCCAGTAAGACAATGCTCTGCAAAAGAAATAAATTTATACGTACAAGATATTTCATTCACAATACTGGATTAAATACTTTCTTGGGATAGTTTAGCACATCCTTTACATAAAATAATTTTGCTTCTGGCCAGTTTAAATAAAATAAAATGCAACTGAGAAAAGTTATCATTGTTATGTGATAATAAGCACTGAGAATTAAGCTAAAAAGTTAGTAACACAGCTGAACATATTCTGGTTTAGCAGAATGATAAGTGGAAATCTCAGGAGGAAACTGTTTTACTTACTCTAACTATCCAGTTACACTTTTCACCTTGTAAAACATTTGTAAATGCAATATAATTTTTTGAAGGAGGAAACTCTGAAAGAAAACAACTTGCTGGTTGAATACCACAAAAAACAAAACAACAACCCAAATCCTTACTTTTTTCTATAATGTTTACTCAGTCTCTTTTTATATAAAAATAAGTGTTATGTTCCCATCATAACATTAGACAATTACATCTGTGCTTTAAAAAAAAGTTGGTCACTCAAGGCTATTAGAATATTTTTTAAGGATTTTAGATTACCAGAATGTACAGATATAACTCAATATAAACTGTAGCCAAAGGGAAATGACAATGAAAATATCAAATCATTCACATGGAACCAAAATGTTATTAACTAGATAAGTAAAATATTCAAAATATAATGGAATGTGACAGTAGATATATTATGTACATCTACTTCAGAACTAGGAAGGGGAGGAAAAGTTTAATATGTAATAACTCGTACCTTATATTTAGTTAAATATAAACATTTGTTATTTATACATAAAACTGCTTTCAAAAAACAACTAATAAATGATTTAGTTGCACTTGTTTTACTTCTTACAGTTCCCAAGTGTTAACTTTTTTTAGATTGAAATCAACTGTCCCCTAGTGCACTTTAAGTTTATATCTTAATGAATTCAAACCTTTAAAAGTCCCATCACCTAATGCATAAATATACAAAAATGCCAAAAAATTAACCCCTTTTAGTTGGATCATATTTATGCTCACTTTATATAGCCAATAACCAGAAACGGTTTCCTTTTGCAAATATTCTTTAGAACCTGCAACAAAACATGCCATGCACTCCAGGGAAAAAGTTAGGCATGGCTAGCATTTGTGAAATGCCAAGAACTGATGAGTTCTGCTTCCTCCACGTGTGGCCCCAATGATACCAGGCAAGATTTCATAATGCTTGCCAAAAGCTTCCACAAATCCAAGTTAGCTAATTCCTGGACACAAAGATTTTAAGCTCATTTTGGCACTGGATGCTTTCATCCAGCAGCTTTATGTTTCCCACCACAGCACCCACACGCCTCACCACAACGATGGCACATTCTCAAAGGGACGTAGCAGCACATACATGGTACAATGAAAGACAAAGCTACTAGGGCTAACCATCGTAAGCAGAACTTGTCATCGCTAGTGTCACATGAACAGGGATCAGAAAAATCTCCCTCTGAGTCTGACATACAATGATACAACATGCTCTCTGCACAGAGCATGCAACTAACTTGATATATGCATCTTTTAATAGGGTCTGGAGCATCCTGACATTTTCCCCTGCCATTTTCTTCATGATTAAATCTTTCTTGGCAGTATACGCAGCGAGAACGTTCACCATCTTCTTTTCTTCGTTTTGACTTCTTAAATTTTAATGAGGAAGGCTGTGTCTTAAATACCACAGAGTCTTTGAGTGAACTTAACTTAGTCTCATCCCCACAAGAGTACAGATAGTCTGATTTTTTACTGTCTGGTTTAGAAAACTGAATACTGGAGTCAGTATCATCTCTCTCCAAGTCACTTTTCCACATGTCAGGATGTCTGTAGTCTGCATAGCGACGTATTAAGATATCGCGAGGGTTTATTCTGACAATCTCATCCTCATCTTGAAAGCTGACATGTCGGATTGATTTCAAAGGGACCTAAAAAGGAAAGAGATGAAAATTGCAATAATGACTGTGAAGGTTAATTTTATGTGCCAACTTGGCTGGGCCACAGTGCCCAAATATTTGGCTAACATTATTTTACATGTTTAAGTGAAGATGTTTCTTGGACGAGATAAACATTTCAATGGGTAGACCATAAGTGTAGTAGATCATCCTCCATGATGTAGGTGGCTTTCATCCAATCAGTTGAAGGCTTTATTAGTACAAAGACTGACCTTGCTGGAACAAGAAAGAATTCTACCAGCAGTCTGCCTTTGGATACAGACTACAGCTCTTCCCTGGGTCTCAAGCCTGACAGCTTACCCTGCAGATTTTGAATATGTACCTCTACCATCACATGAGCCAATTCCTTAAAATAAGTCTCCTTCTCTTTATATATATATCTCTCTTGTTGGTTCTGTTTCTCTGGAGAACCCTGACTCATACAGATTTTAGTACCAAGGTGTAGGATGTTGTGCTAACAAACATCTAAAAATGTGACAGTGCCTTTGGAACTGGGTAATGGGTAGGGGCTGAAAGTTTTGAGGTGCATGTTATAAAAAGGCTAGGTAGCTTTGAAGAGACTTGGTAGAAATAAGAACATTAAAGGTGCTTCTGGTGAGGGCTTGGATGGAAATGAGGAACATACTGTTGACACCAGAGCAAAGTTGATCCTTGTTATAAAGTGGCAAAGAATGCGGGTGAATTGTATTCTAGTCTCTTGTGGAAGGTAGAATTTGTGAGTGATGGACTTGGATATTTAACATAAATTTACAAGCAAAGTGCTGAGGGTGCAGCCTAGTTCCTCCTTGCTGCTTATACTACAATATGAGAAGGAAGTGATTAATTGAAACAGTAATTTTTAAAACAAAAATGAACCAGAAGTTGAAGAGCAAGAAAATTCTCAGGAAGATGCTATCACTGATGGCCAAGGGGATGGGGCCACCTCCCTCATGAGCCCAGAGGAATTCTGCCTCAGGATGAACCAAACTTGAGTTCACTTACACTTGAGTTAGATGGTATTTAGATGAGATTTGGGACCTAGAGGTGATGTTAGGAAGGGTTAAGTTTTTTGGGATGTTGTGATGGGGTGATTGTATTTTGCATGTGAGAAGAGGGACCAGAGTGTGGAACGTTATAGGCTGAACTGTGTCCCCCCAAATCCATATGTTGATGCCCCAATCCCAGTATGTCAGAATATGACTGCATTTGTTAATAGGGCCTTTTAAAAAGGTGATTAAAATATAAGGCCCTTGGGGTAGGCCTTAATCCAATTTGATTGGACAGAAAGAGAGAGAGAGAGAGACCAGAGATGTGGGTGCACAGAGGAAAAAAAACACAGCCAGAAGGTGACCATTGGCAAGCCAAGGAGAAAGGCCACAGAAGAAACCAAATGCATCAACACCTTGAACTGGGACTTCCAGTTTCCAGAACTGTGAGCAAATAAATTTTTGTTGTTTAAGCCTCTCTGTCTGTGGTATTTTGTTATGACAGCCCTGGCAAACTAATACAAAGACATACGTGTTCATAGGTTGGCTATACAAGTCTCTGAAAATGACTTAAAACACATCACACTCTCTCATCCTTCTGGGTAGCCTGTTTCCTTGAGGCCAGGGAGAAAAGTAAATTTTTCAGGCATAAATCAAAATGACTCTTCCCTTCACCCATATAAGTGGGCTTCTAGTAGTCACATTTATATCTTCTAGTGCCAGTCCCTGGACACAGTGACTACTTTATAAGTAAGCACATGAATCCACGTTGGGGCAGACTTCTATTCCCCATATATTTGGAATTGTGGCTAAAAAAATTCCACGTCTGGACTAAAGGTGGAGTGATGGATGCAGACCATTATATTATAACATACGATTCCTATTGGTGATAAGTATACTGACAATCCCCCAGACTCAAACCAGAAATTTGGAGGGAATTTAAGTAATGGGGTTTAGAAGTATATATAAACAAATAGAAAATTTATACACTAAAAAACAATTCTAGTACAACTCAACTATATGGAGAATTAGAAAGACTGGAAAATTTCACTTACATGTTAATTAGTTACATTCCAAATCAGAAGATAAAACTAAGATTACTTACCTTATTTTGGGACTTTAGGCTTCCACATTCCTTGGGTATTTGCCGCTGTACATATTCTATACTTCTGCCCTGAATGTCTAGGCCTGGATGACTGAACATTATCTAAAATACAAACAATTTCTACTTAAGTGACAAAAGAATGCATTCCTTATTTCTAATAAAACTATATATAATGTGTATTCCAAAACTTCATAATCTATTAGCAGTAAGGGTTTTCAAAATGGTTTTAACAAAAAGCATCACTTGAGTCATCCTATTTATTATTTAAACTTAGGTCTTTCCTTATACATTTAAAATTTAATTTAAAAAGTAATACAGACTTCTGGTTTCTGTTTTGGCATATAAGGAGCTTGGAAGCTGCCATTCTGTTGTAACAACAAGTAAAAAAGCTGAACAACAACAAAAAATATCCACAACTCCTCTTAGATCTATGAGAGAGGAGGACACAGGGCAAACCCCACCCCTAAGACTGCAGAGAGAGAGCAAAAAAAAAGGGAGTCACTGCTTACCAGAGCAGAGACTCATGAATGAAAATCACCATGGAAACCAGTGCCAGGGTGGGGGGAAAAAAAAAACTCAACTGTAATTGACAAATTGCTGGAGGCTCAGGATGGACAACTCTGACAGTCAAAAAAACTCCTGGTTGGTGGTGGGGACAGTCATTGTGATGCCCCCAAACTCTTGTGAGTTTACCTCTAGGAGATCAACCAGGTTCCCACAATAAGTATCAGAAAAATCCGTACATGCTTCCAGCAGGGGAATGGAGAAGGAACCATTACGAAATGTGCCAGAACACTCTGTTCTTAACAAGGCCTGTCCTCAGGAGAAACTAGTTAAGGAGGGTCTGACCTACTGTGGTATTATCAGTCTATTTGATCTGGAGGAGGGGACATACCCAACACTAGTCAACTCTAACCATCTGACACACCTAAAGGGAGAGAAAAAAACGGATAAATAATTGTGATATTCACAATCCTGAGGGAAAGGCTCAGACTAAAAGACTGAGACCTAGTCACAACCATAGAATACTTCCTCTTCCTATACACTTTACCACTACATCACTAAAGGCTTATTTACAGCAGTTCCTTTTACCCAGCACATCATGTCTAGCAATCAAGAGAAACGAGAAAAAAAATACCAAAAGACAAAAATACATTTTGAAATGACAGAACAAGCATCAGAACCAGATATGGCAGGGATATTGGAATCAGCAGACTAGGAATTTAAAACAACTATGATTAATATGCTAAGACTCCAATGTTTAAAGTAGATAGCATACAAGAACAAAAGAGCAATGCAAGCAGAGAAATAGAAATCCTAATAAAGAATACCGCCCCCTGCAAAAAAATCTAGAGATCAAAAGTACTAAGAATACCTGTGATGAGCTTAGTAGACTGGACACGGCTGAGGAAAAAAACCGCTGAGCTTGAGGATTAAGCAACAGAAATCTCCAAAATTGAAAGGAAAGATAACAAAGACTGAAAAAAAAAAAAAAAAGACTATTCAAGAACTGTGGGACAACTACAAAAGGTGTAACATACACGAAACAGAAAGAACAGATGAAGAAAGAGCAAAAGGAACAAAAGAAATATATGAAATAATAATGACTGAGAATTTACCCAAATTAATGTCAGATGTCCAATCACATATCCAAGAAGCTCAGAGAACAAAGAGTAAGCGGGAAAATGGAGGGAAGGAAAAAGAAAAAAAAAAAAAAGCACCTAAGCATATCATTTTCAAACTATAAAAAATCAAAGATAAAGAAAAAAATCCTGAAAGATGCCAGAGGAAAAAATATTTTACTTATAAAGAGTAATTACATCTGACTTCTTTGCAGAAACCATGCAAGCAAGAAAAGTGAAGTGAAATAGTTAAAGTGGTAAGAGAAAAAGTCTGCCAACCTAGAATTATGTACCCTGCAAAAATTATCCTTCAGAAGTGAAGGAGACTGGTGGGAATGTATTGGTGCAACCACTGTGGAAAAGAGTATGGAGGTTTCTCAAAATACTAAAAATAGAACTACCATATGACCCAGCAATTCCACTTCTGGGTATATATCTGAAAGAAACATGAACACTAATTTGCACCCCAATGTTTATAGCAGCATTATTTACAATTGCCAAGATATGGAAGCAACCTAAGTGTTCATCAACAGATGAATGGATAAGACGTGGGGTGTATAAACACACACACACACACACACACACACACACACACATACACAATGGAATATTACTCATCCATAAAAAAGAATGAAATTTTCACATTTCCAACAACACAGATGGACTTGGAGGGTATTTCACTAAGTGAAGTCAGACAGAGAAAGAAAAATACTCTATGATACCACTTGCATGTGAAATCTAAAAAATACAACAAACTATTGAATATAACAAAAAAGAAACAGACTCAGATACAGAGAACAAATTAGTGGTTATCAGTGGGTAGAGGGAAGAGGGGAGGGGCAACATGGGGGTAGGGGATTAAGAGAGACAAGCTATCACGTAAAAGAAAAATTAAATCTAAAAATAAACATTAAAAAAATGTGAAAGAAACAAAAAGACTTTCTTAAGCAAAAAAAAAATGGAGGAAATTTGTTGCTGGTAGACCTGCCTTATAAGAAATGTTAACAGAGGTTCTTTAGAGAGAAGGAAAATAATATAGGTCAGAAACTTGGATCTACATGAGAATGCAAGAGCGGTTAAGAAGAAATAAGTGAAAATAAAACAAAACTTTTAATTTTCTCATTCTTAACTGAGCTAACAGAAGTTTGTTCAAAAAAATAGCAACAGTGGGGGACCTTCCTGGAGGTCCAGTGGTTGAGAGTCTGCCTGCCGCTGCAGGGGACACGGGTTGGTGCCCCGGTCCGGGAGGATCCCACATGCCACGGAGCGGCTGGGCCTGTGAGCCATGGTCAGGGAACTAAGGTCCTGCATGCCAAGCAGCGTGGCCAAAAACAAACAGCAACAGTGTACTTGATCATGTATGATTATGCACATATTTACATACATATGCATATATATGTATATAAAATAAGATGACTGACAGCAATGATGCAATGATGGAAGGAGGAATTAGGATTATGGTTATTATAAAGTACTCCCACTCACTGTAAAGTGGTTTAGTGTTGTTAGAGTAAAAGTAAATGGCTGGAGAAAAATACACCACGCTAATACTAACCAAAAGAAAGCAGGAGTTCCTATATTAATTTCAGACAGAGCAGACTTCAAAACAAGGAAAGTTATCAGTGATAAAGAAGGCATTATATAATGATAAAGGGGTTAATTCCCCAAGAAGACATAACAATCCTCATTGTGTATGTGTTTAACAACACAGCATCAAATTATGTGAGGCAAAAACTGATAGAACCTGAAGGAAACGGATACACCCATTATCATAGCTGGAGATTTCAACATCCCTCTCTATCAGAAATGAACAGACTGATGTCTTGAGAACCAAAAGTAACTTTACAATCTCTGCATCATACCTGGAATCCATCCTTCTTGGCTTCTTCTGGCTCACTACTGGATCTTCCGCATGAAGCAGACCCAATTTTCTGTGGGTCTGAAATTTCACCAGGGGTTTGCTTTTACCATGTGTCCTAGGGTTCTGTCTGTTCATTTTTTTGGTTGTTGTTGTTTTTCTTTCTTCCTTTTTTTCCTGAGTTATGTGGCTGGGAGGGTCTTGGTACTCTGGCTGGGTGTTGGGCCTGAGCCTCCATGGTGTGGGAGTACTGAGTCCAGGACACTGGACAACCAGAAACCTCCCGGCCCCACATAGTATCAATCAGCAAGAGCTCTCTCAGAGATTTTCATCTCAATACTAAGACCCAGCTCCACCCAATGGCCAGCAAGCTCCAGTGCTGGATGCCCCATGCCAAACAACTAGCAAGACAGGAACACAACCCAACCCATAAGCAGAGAGGCTGCTTAAAGTCATACTAAGTTCATGGACACTCCAAAACACACAACGAGCTGCAGCCCTGCTCACCAAAAGGACAAGAAACAGCTCCACCCACCAGAACACAGGCACCAGTCCCCTCCACCAGGAAGCCTACACAAGCCACTGAAGCAACCTCACCCACTGGGGCATACAGCAAAAAATGACAGGAAATATGAACCTGCAGCCTGCGAAAAGGAGACCCCAAACACAATAAATTAAAAAAAATGAGAAAACAGAGAAATATGCAACAGATGAAGGAGCAAGGTAAAAACCCACCAGACCAAACAACTGAAGAGGAAACAGGCAGTCTACCTGAAAAAGAATTCAGAGTAATGATAGTAAAGATGATTCAAAATCTTGGAAATAGAATAGAGAAAATACAAGAAATGTTTAACAAGGACCTAGAACTAAAAAGCAAACAAAGAATGATGAACAACACAATAAGTAAAATTAAAAATACTCTAGAAGGAATCAATACCAGAATAACTGAGGCAGAAGAACGGATAAGTGACCTGGAAGACAAAATAGTGGAAATAACTACCGCAGAGCAGAATAAAGAAAAAAGAATGAAAAGAATTGAGGACAGTCTCAGAGACCTCTGGGACAACAGTAAATGAACCAATATTTGATTATAGGGGTCTCAGAAGAAGAGAAAAAGAAAGGGTCTGAGAAAATATTTGAAGACATTATAGTTGAAAACTTCCCAACATGGGAAAGGAAAGAGTCAATCAAGTACAGGAAGTGCAGAGAGTCCCGTACAGGATAAAGCCAAGGAGAAACATGAAAAGACACATATTAATCAAACTATCAAAAAATAAATTCAAAGAAAAAATATTAAAAGCAGCAAGGGAAAAGCAACAAATAACATACAAGGGAATCTCCATAAGATTAACAGCTGATCTTTCAGCAGAAACTCTCCAAGCCAGAAGGGAGTGGTAGGACATATTAAAGCGATGAAAGGGAAAAACCTACAACAAAGATTACTCTACACAGCAAGGATCTCATTCAGGTTCAACAGAGAAATTAAAACCTTTGCAGACAAGCAAAAGCTGAGAGAATTCAGCACCACCAAAGCAGCTTTACAACAAATGCTAAAGGAACTTCTCTAGGCAGGAAACACAAGAGAAGGAAAAGCCCTACAAAAACAAACCCAAAACAATTAA